AAAGATTTATATTCACAGGTGACCCTCTATCCCTCTATCCCCATGGATTCTGTATCCCTGTAGGCCTTCTAGCACTACAAACCCTCTATCCCTATGGACCCTCTATCATTACGAACCCTCTCTTTCTGCAGACCACCTATCCTTATGGATCCTCTAGCCGTCTGGACCTCCAGACCTTCTATCCCTTGGACCCTCTATTCCTCCAGACTCTCTATCCCTATGTACCTTCTATCCTTCCAGATCTTTTATCCCTTGGACCCTCTATTTCTCCAGACCCTCTATCCATCTCTCTAGACCCTCTATCTCTATGGATCCTCTATCTCTGTGGACCCTCTAACCCTCTGGACCCTCTATCCCTGCAGACCTTCTATCCCCATATGCTCCAGAGATTCAGACTCATCCAACTGCGGGTGGAAAATTATTGAAAAACATCAACTGTTAGGTGCAGACTTTTGGACTTCGTCATTGTCATCATTCACCAAGTAGCACTCTATGACAACTGTTCACATGGCCCTCATACAGCTTTAGACATTATAAGTAACCAGGGGATTGCTTAAAGCATAAAGAAGATATTTACTGTAACACTGTTTATAATAGCCAGGATACGAAACCAAATGGTCTGTCATTAAGTACATGGATAAATATCACTCACGCACACACACACAGTGGGACACCGTGGAGAAGCAATCTATACTGCATACACACAACAGAATACCATGTGATCATCAAAAGAATGAAATCTGATAAATTCCAACAATTTGAATAATTATGGATGAAATGCAGTGAAATGATCCAGTTATGGAGAAATAAATCTCACATGATCTTACTTATCTGAAAAATCTAGACTGTTAAAAAATTAATAGATTTAAGAAGTAGAATAATAGTCACTAGAGGATAGTGAGGGTAAGGGATGGAGGAGTAGAAAGAGTTAGTTAGCAGGTACAGTATCACAATTATTCTGAAATAGTAATGATAATGACAATAATAATAATAATAATAATAATAATAAATTTCTGCTCTTCTGTAACCATAGTTAATGATGCAATATGGTATATTGCAAAATAACTAGGAGGACATTAAATATCTTTTTGTCAAAGAAATGATAAGCATTAGAGGGGATTAATAGATTTAAAACTGTTTGTTTGTTTTTTAATTCTCTGTTTACACGACAACAATCTTGTATATGAGCCCTTACCTTCTACCGTGTTTGAGACACAGTCTCCCGTTCACAACTGTGTATGGCTGGCTAGCTGGCCAGCAATTTTCCAAGGGATTTTTCTTGCCTCTTTCTTCCATCTTGCTGTGGGAAGCCTGGGATTACAGGTGTTCATTACCATCTCTGACTTTCTGGGAGATCTGGGATCTGAACTCAAGTCCTCAAGCAAACCCTTGACCCACTGAGCCATCTATGGTGCCCAAAATTCTGACCTGATAACTAGACATTTTATACATACATAAAAACATCATGTCATACCACATACATACATACATAGGCCTGTTTGTTGTGTGATAATTACCAATAATGTAAAATATTATATTAGCAATAAATAAACAAAACACATACAGCACAGGTCTTATGCTAAAACTATGGAATACTTCATAAGGAACTTGAGAAATCTGTGGGCTTTGGAATCTGGGCTGGATGGTAGTGGTGTGGATTCTCAGTGTCGCTTTGGTCTTGGGAGACTGCTGTATTTGATTTGAGCTGATGCTCTTGGATGCTGTGTTGAATCGAGATGACACAATGGGACCCCTGAGTTCCAGGCCAGTGGCACAAGCTGAGGCACTAAGGTGAACAACTCAGGTGACACTGTAGGTAAGCATCTCAAGTGACTGAAATCAGACCTGTTGGAGGAACGAGAACTGGCCTAGGGTAGGCTTGTTCCAGGCAGTGAGGAAAGTGTCTTGTGTTCTTGGCCCAGGGGGAGCTTCTGAAGCTCATGAGTGCGTGGCTCCCGTGATATTAATTGCCAACTTGACAGCATTTAGGGGCAATGAAGAGACAAGCCCCCTGGCACATCTGTGAGGGTTAGCTTGGTGGGGTTAACTGAGGCTGGGAGACTCGCCTGAAATGAGGGAAGCCCCAGTCCTTTGACTAGCTTTCAAAGGACAAAGGCAGCAAGTAGCAGCCTCCCAATTCTCAACTTCCTGCCTGTGGATACACAATGTGACCTGCTTCCTCAGTCTCCGGTGGCCGTGTTGTCCACGCCATGTTGAACTGTATGCTTAGACTGTGAGGTCAATTAAGCCCTTCCTTCCTTCCATCCTTCCTGTTTGTGACTTTTGCCACCTATTTAATCCCAGCAACAAGAAAACAAGAATGCAGAGTGGTATTGGAGATAGGTTTCATGGTAATGATCGTGATAACAGAATTATCGGGGAAAAGAATGGCTGGGTATCAGGAAATATCGGTTAAGGTCATTTCAAAACAGAGTCAGCAATCTTTTTTTTTCATATAATTGATTTGTTTATGCACATAACCAAGACTTTGATTTTATCCAGAGTCAGCCATATCCAGAGCTACAGGATGGCAATATGTTCGCCAGGCTCATTCCTGTTTCTGATTTCTACTGCTTAGGAGTGATGGAGGACTTACGTAGTGCCCACAGTGGACCTGGAGTACAAGGCAATAGGACAAGGTTTTATTGAACCCCTACCAGGTGGCTGGCACAAGGGCCTTGAGCACCGGGCTCACCATATAATTAGTGTTACCAGATCAACACCCTCCCCCACTCCTCCCCCCGAAGTGCAGAGGGAGGCAGAGGACTGGCGCTTAATGAGAGGCAGATGCCAACGGGGAACAGATGTTTGGAGCTCCTCAGTGATATCAAATTAATCATCTCCCGACTTCAAGGTACTTCTTGGAGGCTGGGAAACTTCTCTGTAATAAATCGCTCCTGGGATTGATTTTTTTCAAGTGAGAATGTGGTGCCGCTGCCTCAGCTGCTTCTCAGCAGCGCTCCCAGAAACAGAGCACACTTTGGTGGGAGCGAAGAAAAGACCAAACCCAGGCTCTTCAGCTGTCTCCCGGAAGAACCAGAGGGCTGGGTCTTACTTATTAACCGAAATAACTGCCGCCACTCTTCCACCGGTGGTTCTGCCCACTGTCCCGTGCGTTTAGCAAATAACTTTGGCAGGCGCAGCAGACAGGAGCGAGGACAGTGAAGTTGGAACCCAGACAGAGGTTGACCTTATGGTTACCACAGGCTGAGTGACTCCTTTGAAATAAAAAAGCTTAAGAAATGTGGGTGGAGTAAATCTCACGAGGCCTCACCCCTAGATGAAGGCACCAGGCAATAAATGGGTGCTAAGAGAGGAAGTAAAAAAAATATTCTCTGGGGACAAGCCCCTGATAGGTTATTCAGTCCTTTGTGGCAGACCATGGAAAGCAATTTCTTTTTATTTGAAGGGAGAAAGTGTTTTCTGTCAAGGTATAAATAAAAAAAAAATAGTTTATTAAGGATGAATGGTTGAAAAAAAATCACTATTTTAAATCAAGTTTTCCTTTTCTTTTCCTTTCTTTTCTTTTCCCTCTTCCTTTTTGCCTCTTTCTCCCCTCCCTCCCTCCCTCCTTCCCTCCCTTTCTTCCTTCTTTCCATCTTCCGTCCATCCATCCATCCATCCATCCATCCATCCATCTATCCATCCATCCATTTATCCTTCTTTCCCAGAATACAATATCTAGCCCCACCTGGCCTTAAACTCATGTCAATCTTTCTGCCTTGGCCTCCTTAGTATTACGATTTCAGGTGTCAGCTACCATGCTTCATTTATAGCAGAGTTTTTTTCTTCTACTTTTGGAACAGTAGTTCTTGGTTTTGAGACTCTATATTTCTCTATAGCATATTCAACAGCTTCCCTGGCCTCCACCCATCAGATACCAGATACCAGTAGAAAACCCCTTTTTAAGAATGAAGACCAAAACTGTCCCTAGACTTTGCCAAATGGAGTCAAAACCATTTGAGAGCAAGGTGTGTTCAGCAACTCAGCAAAATTCCCTGTGCGCTCTCTCTCTCTCTCTCTCTCTCTCTCTCTCTCTCTCTCTGTGTGTGTGTGTGTGTGTGTGTGTGTGTGTGTGTGTGTGCGCGCGCACACATGCGCACATATGAGGTGGTGATTGGTGGGATGTGGTTGCATAACTGAATCCCACTATACCAGTGTTGCTTCTGGAAGAATCACTTCTCTGCACTCCCAGCCCCCTGCTAATCAGGAGACTGCTCCTTCCTTTCTTTCCTCTCCAAAGGCCTCTAATGCGTGATGGTGGCACAGATCTGACTTTCTCTCCAATTACACGATCAGATGGACTGTTCTCAATTTGGCTTTCAAAGCTGGTTGCTCCTCTGAGACAGCTTTGCTAAAAGCATTTAATGATCCTTGAGGTAGCCAAGCTTAGAGGTGCGCTTCTGAGGTACTGGGAGGGATGAGGGAGCTGGCTGGGATTCTGTCCCCCTTTCCAAAGAAAGGGTAGGTTTTAGCTTCCATTTTTCTCTTCAGAGTGCATCCTGCAGACTTTAGTCAGCTTTGCATTCCAGATTCTTCTTTCATAGAGGACCGGATGCAAGGATTTCAGACATTCCCAGGCAGTGAGCTGCTTCTCAACATGTGGGTCTCATGTCTCCAAAACCCGGATGCCTGGGAATCTCCTTCAGGAAGATGAGTTGACTTTCAGCCCTCTGAGAACAAGGATTATCTTCTACTTCTCTTTGATTTCTCAGTATTCCATCTTCTCTGATGTCTTCGGGGTGCCGCGAGGCCCCTTGCTGGCTGTCTTCCAGAACACACGGAGCCTTGGCCTTGACACATGTGCTAGCAATGTGAGTGTCATCCTGAGAGCCCAGATTATGACTATGAATCCATACGTTACCTAGTCCCTTCAGCTGGAAGGGTGTGTGCTATTTTTAGCAGTATCTTGCCATCCCCCCAACCATGGCTTTTTAACAAGGTCTTGTCATTATCAGTTATTTAATATTTCTAGAATTAGAAACTGTTTTCCCGGCAGCTCATGTTTGAAGTCAGGCTCTTGAAGCCTTCTCACACTGGGGCTATTGATAGAGACTCAGCAATGACTCATTCCACTCTTTCTTTGCTAATTTGCAGTTGGGCTCAACATTTAGCCAGATTCAACATTTTGCTGTCTTTTGGATGAAGGTTTTACTTGCTTAACAAGCTTCAGGGACCACCTTTAAACCGTGGGGAATGGGCGCTAGCTGCTTGACTGTATCCATATTTGGTACTTTGTGGTCTTGCTTCCAATGAATGCTCAAAACAGTTCTCTTACCAGCCAAGTTGTAAATGGGGGTAAGTGACGGTCCCTTCTAAGGATACCCTCCTTGGTGCTCCCCAGTGAATCAATCATGGGGTCTGAGCATAAGAGAAGGTGATGGGAAAAAAAAAGCCAAAGGAGATGGGATGCTGTGTAGGATTGCTTCAGAAACGTTGTCCTGTCCCTTGCAGAGCCGCAGTCTCCAGACAAGAGACTGAGACAGCATTCTGTGCTCATAGATCACACGAGAAGGGAAGAGTGGGGGCCAATTCTGTTGCAGCATGGAGGAGGCTCTCATAGAACACCTTTGACTGCAGTACATCAACTCTGCACTGTGGCGGTACTCTGGGTATTCCCAGTTTATAGGGGACAGTAAGACTGGTAGCTTCTGTGACTTGTCTAGGATTATCCTTGTGTCAATGACAGAGCTAGGTCTAAACCCAGATCTCCCATTTTCAGGCTGAATGATTCCCCAAAGACATCAGAGAAGATGGAATACTGAGAAATCAAAGAGAAGTAGAAGATAATCCTTGTTCTCAGAGGGCTGAAAGTCAACTCATCTTCCTGAAGGAGATTCCCAGGCATCGGGTTTTGGAGACATGATTCCCCACAGTTAGAAGATCATTCTAAATTCCCATTTGTGCTGAGCCAGAGGGACCCTCGCAAAGGCATCTGAGTGTCCTGGCAATGTCTTTGGCCCCAGTGCCATATCAAGAGATAACATTTGCTCTTCCTGCCACAGACTCCCTGCTTGTAGCGGGACTGCTTTTCTTAGGTATGTGGGGAGGAGGTCCCTGGACACCTTCAAGCACAGCCAGCCTGGACAGTAGCAGCAGAGAGTGGTCTTTGATGAACCCATTTCAATTTCCCATGGTGGGCCAAACATCTTCCAGAGGCTTGCTATCCTTAAGCCAGCCACTATGAGTGTAATTCATAGACTGACCTGTGGAATGTGAGTTCTTTCTTGTTTTTTTTTTTTTCAAGAACCCAAATACGTGGGTCCTACAGAACCTGAATAAATTGGTTATTAAGTTGCATACAACTGAAAAATGAGGGGAAGCCTCTGCAGATAACAATACATTGTCAAGGGTTTTGAAAGATATGCGTCTGTGTTTGTCCCTCTCAGAGAACTGGCCTGGAAGTGAGTGTGTCTTTGGTGCATTTGAGAGACAGATGGGATTTTAAGGGTGATTCAGCTACCAATTGGGATAGGTGACCCTGGATGAGTAGGTGAGGAAAAAAAAAATCCTAGAAAGCCAAACTCAGAAGATCTAGATTAAAGTTCCAGCTCTGCCTCCGAGGAGCTGTGAAGCTGTGGGTCAAGCATTGCATTTCTCTGGGCCTCAGTTTTCACCTGTGTAAATAAAGACAGCCTCAGTATAGAACTCAGGTGCTGGAGAGCATGGCTGACAATGTCTGTCCATCCTAACTTGGGATAAAAATGAGTTACACCTTCTATGAGCCGTCACTGGTGTTCTTTTTTATGCTGAAGGAGTGAAATTAATGGCCAACTTTTTCATTATGATGTTTGTAATCATCACGTTCATTGATTTGAAGTGGTTCCAGGTATTGCTCAGCTATGTCTGCTGTTGAAACTGGAGGAAAAGCCTCCTCAGGTGTCATTGGAAGGCCCAGGGGAAGTACGGATTCCAGTCATCTCCTGGGACCCTTGTGATTATTCTGGAACCCCTCCTGGGCAGTGTGAGAGCAGAGTGTGCTTTCCCCACCCACCACAGGCTTTGCTCAGAGAAGACAGGGGAATTGCATTCATGGGGACCAAACAGGAAGTGCATGCTTGAGTTGCGGTTTGATTATGTACGCTGATTCTTTTCTGTCACCAACTCCAAATAACAGAGGGAATGTGTGCGTAAGACCCTGCCAGGACCATATTTGCAAAAGAAAGGCAGTCAGAAAGGTAGAAGGAATCTCATTGTCATTATTTTCCCCCCCATTACTTCATGCCTTGCTTTTTGAGACAGGATCTTTCACTAACGCCAACAGGCCACCAATTGGATTTGTCCCACATTCTTGTTTTACAGATGTATGCATTAAGGACATGCTCAACATCCTTAGCCATCAGAGAAATGCAAAGTAAAACAACTCTGAGATTCCACCTTACACCTGCTGGAATGGCCAAGATCAAAAACACTGATGACAACTTACGCTGGAGAGGTTATGGGGTAAAGGGAACATATATCTTCATTTCATGAGGGAGTGAAAACTGGTACAGCCGCTTTGGATATCAGTATGGTGATTTCTCAGAAAATTAGGAAACAACCTACCTCAAGACCCAGCAATATCGTTTTTGGGTATATACCCAAAGGATGCTCAAGCGTGCCACAAGGACATGTGCTCAGCTATGTTCATAGCAGCATTGTTAGTCATAACCAGAACCTGGAAACAACCTAAATGACCCTCAACCAAAGAATGGATAATGAAGATGTAGTACATTTACAAAGTGGAGTACTACACGGAGGAAAAAAAATAATGACATCCTGAAATTTGCAGGCCAATGGGTGGATCTAGAAAACATCATATTGAGTGAGGTAACCCAGACCTAAAAAGACAAATATAATATGTACTCACTTGTAAGTGGTTTTTAGACAGAAAACAAAGAAAAACCAGTCTACAATTCACAATCCCAGAGAACCTAGACAACAAAGAAAACCTTAAGAGAGACATACATGGATCTATTATCTAAATGTGGAGGCCCAAAAATGTGAGCCCATTTCCAGCTTGACCAAAGGTCAGAGAGTTGGAACTTACCTCTAGTTCCTTCAAGGTTCCTGTGCTTCTACCCAAACAAAGGTCCCACCCAGCCTTCCAGAGACTTCTGCTCTCTCAAGGTTATTGTCAACAGGTGTGGCTAATATCCAGATCCTGTACTCCTGGAATAGAGAAGTAGATCTGTTCCCACCTCTATCAAGAGTCTAAGGATCCAACTAAGTTCCAGTTCCCTTAAAGAGACAACGTGGGATTTTACCCAGGGAGTGGTTTGCCTACAGAATGTTTTGGTTTAGGATGTGTGTGTGTGTGTGTGTGTGTGTGTGTGTGTGGCGGTCTAGCAACAGGCTGTTTAACTGTGGACGTAGCCCGTGCCCTTTAACTGGTCTGTTCATTTCCTTGTATCCTATTAATGCAGTCTTTTGTCTTACTCCTACCTTTTGGAGTCAGGGATATTTAAAGCAATTGGAAATTAAACACAGGCAAATTTCAGTACTCACTGGAATTCTCTCCCGATACTATTCAATGTTTCTACGTTTTATTGTTTTCATTCGCGTCTTCATATTCTTTACTAAATTTCTAAATCCCCACGCCTCTATTCTGGTGAGAAGTATTTTTGTTGAGGTTGGTCCCTGACATCTAAATGGAAAGTAGAAAAAGACAAGATCTCCTAAGTAAATTGGGAGTATGGGGATCATGGGTAGAAGGGAAGAGGGGAGGAAGGGAGGTTAGTGGAGAAAAATAAATAGTTTAATAAAAGCAATTAAAAAAAAAAAAAGCTCTGCCCTGAAGATGGACATTGGGGCAAACTAGGTAGGGAATGTGTGTGTGTGTGTGTGTGTGTGTATGTGTGTGTGTGTGTGTGTGTTTGTGTGTGTATGTATATATGTGTATGAGTGTGTATGTGTTTGTGTGTGTGTATGTATGTGTGTGTGTACGTGTGTGTGTGTTTGTGTGTGTATGTATGTATGTGTATGTGTGTATGTGTGTATGTGTGTGTGTATGTATCTGTGTGTATGTGTGTGTGTGTACGTGTGTGTGTGCTTGTGTGTGTATGTATGTATGTATGTGTATGTGTGTGTGTGTATGTATGTGTGTGTATGTGTTTGTGTGTATGTGTGTGTGTGTGTGTATGTGTGTGTGTGTGTGGCGTTTGGGGGGTAGCTGCATTCTGACTCTGTGGTACTCTGGGTAAGTGTGTAGAGGCTAGAGGTTGCTGTCACGTGTTTTCTTGCAATACATATGTTTTCCTTTTTGAAACAGGATCTTTTTTGAAACAGGTCATTGGCTGAGCATAAGTAATAAGTAACTGGCCAATGAGCTCCTTGCTCTGCCTTCCCAGCACTAGGCTTAGGGGTGTGTGCCAGCTTTTCACGTGGGTGCTCGGGCTCCGAACTCAGGTCCCCACACTTGCGCAGCAGTCCTTCTCCCACTGTGCCATCTCCAGAGTTCCTGGGTTTGCTTGTTTAAAAAAATCAGCTTCTCCTCTCATTTCTCCTCTTCAGGAAATTGAATATTGCAAAAGATAATAATCAGAAATAAGTAAATTTCAAGTTCTAAGTCCAAGTCCCCTCCTTGCTGTTAAAAAAAGGTAATATTTTATTCCTTTTCCCTTAAACTTTTCCACCAAAACTTCGCTTTGTCACCATTTCAGTAATTTGTATCTCTACTCTGCTCCACCTGAACAAACTAACCTGGATAATTCGCGCGCTATTAAGGGAGCACACCACTTCCTTGGGGAGCCATTTATTCCCATCATTGCTGATAACAGAAAGTCCCTTTCTGGGCTTGATGCTAACGGCTTCTCCGTGCAGACTGGGCGCATTTTCTCCAACCGTTGGTTATTCACAAGCTCTCACTTGTAGCCTTGTAGAAGCACGGGTGGTATAGGCTTGCGGGATTCATTTTGGGGCTTGTTTTTATGATTGCCAGCGATGCAGATAAGGTAATAGAAGTGAATAGGTGGGTGCTGGGCAATGAATTTTACTGGTGATTAGACAAGGCAGACGTAAAGTGTGTCTCCTTCCCTCCTGTTTGGAATTCAGAATGGGTTTATGAAGAAACTCTAGGAAAAAGCACTGGATTTAATTACCTCATAATTCCAATTTAAGCTGGAGAATGGAGTTATCTCCTAGGTAGGGAGAGGAATCTTTTCTCGCAACAAGAATGTTTAGAAGTGAGTTCGCTATCATCTCTCACGTGCTCCCTGTCCCTCAGTAGGCTTCACGTTGTTTCTGCCATTTTGGTTTAAACATTCTAGAATCTTTTACCATTTTTATTTTCTTATTTGACATGTACAGTGTCTCACTCCTCTACACCAGCTCTGATAATTATTAATTTTGTTGCTTCTCTACCTCCTTCCACCGGGGTGAGGCCCTGGTCTCAGCGCACGGACTCATCAGAGAGACTCTCTTGTCTCTGTCTCTGCTCACCGCTGTGGCGGCTTCTCTTCTCCCAGGCAGTTCATTATTTTGCCTTGAGTTTAGCCTTCAGAAAGCTGCATTCTGTTCATGTCATTTTCTACTCAAAGCCACCATGTGCTTCCTGTTTCTAGTAAATAAAGTGTGATATCTGAAGCCATTCATAAGCTGGCTGAGCCTGCTCACTCTTTCCGGAAACCTTCCCTCTCCTCTGTTTCACCATCCGACCACCATGATTAAGTCATTCCCTAAAACAATGTAGTATGTTCTTAAATGCGTATTTATTTAATGTGTATAATAATAGGAAACCTCATTATTCTTTGACAATTCCATATGTCCATGTACATAATGTATTTAGAATTTAGCAATTTTTGTCCCCATTTTCTTCCACATCCCTCTCCGGCCCAACCCCCATCTTCTTCCCATCAAGCCCCCATGTTTCTTGCATTCACATTATTGCTTGTCTGCCTTCCTAGGATCCCATTTCCTTATATCCTTCTATGTACTTTTAAATGCCTCTCTCTTAATAAATCATTTTAATAATCAATATAAAGTGATGGATTGTAGCCATATACATAGCTATTACATCTCCTCATTAGACAATAAGATTGTAAAGGCTAACG